ATCAAAAATTAGTTTGTTATTTGTAATTGATGGGATTACATCAATGGTGAGATTTGTGATCTCAGATAGGTAAGATTGCCTTCCTAAGAAATGAGATTTTCTACCTCTGATGTATATGTATGATTGTCTACCTCAAAGATGTGATAAGGTCTATCTCAGAGGTGCTTTTGTATCAAATATTGAAAGTATTAGTTCTTTAATTCATACATTTTTAGATACATTTGGAAATACAACTAGTTTAAGATTACGTAGAAGTCAAATTAGCTTAAAAATTTTAAGATGGTATTTGGAAAAAGGGAAACGCTTCTTTTAAAAACATGTAATTTTCATTAACGTACATTCTATTACAGCCATTTCAAAGTAATTTTATGGATTTTGTGAAAAAACACTTACATGTAGTAATACCATTTTGCTTCGATCTAGTTATTTCAATTATGATTTCATTGTAAAGATATTGTCAGCATCCTGTCATTTCAATGACATTGCGATATTAACCTGTTGAACCCAGAATGATTGATTAAATGCTTAGTCAGGGTTGGCATTCTCCATTTGTTCTGTCGTAATGCTTTTTTTTCTATTTATGTTAAGATATATTTATATGTTTGGGTGATTAATGATGTAGTGTTGGTTATTCTGCATTTCAATGTTTGAAACTCACAGTTGCCTCTTTGCCGTGGTAATCACATTTTACACTTTACAATGGACTTGGAAAAACTTATTATGAATCTTTCATTAGACTAGATCGTAGGACTGTCTCTCAATTTCAAAGTGTAGATTATTCTTTTCATTAAGCTGAATGGAGTTTGAGAGGGATATAGAGAAGCTGTCTTTCCATCCTTTTCTCGATCCTTCTCGATCCATCTGTCATTCATCTGTCCAGATGAATACTCAAATACTGCATGATGGATCAGGTTCAAATTTTATAGGCTGATGCCTTATGGGGATAGGTCCTCTGCTTGAGATGGAATTTTCAATATGGCCACTCAATTCAAAATGGCCATCATTCGTCATATCCTGGTGCCTGAATGACATAAGCGCTCTATTTAAGAAGAAATTTTCAAGATGGCTGCTAAATTCAAAATGGCCACCATTTTTTGCAAAAACAATTGTCATCTTAAGGTTCAGTTGGAAAGTAACATTTTGGTAAAAAATTGCTATACCTGCACATGTTATTTTCTGGTACAAAATTAAGTATGAAGTCATGTGTGTGTTTCCTTGCTTTTTTCAGGAAAGGATCATTACACTGTCTATTTTTAGTAAACCTGGAAACAGGTCAATGGTAGTTCCTGTGTTGTCTGAAAACTTTGAAAGAAAATTTTAGATGCTGATGCCCAGGGACAGAGGATATAGGATTCTTATCAGGAAGAATTTCAAAGATTCCAATTCAATATGGCCAGCATTATGAATAGCCACCAGATATAGGGGGATACCATCATGTATGTCAATGCACCCTTGCTGAAATCCTCATTTTCTCAGAAGAACTCAAGTTGATTGAATCTCAACAAGTAGATTTCTGTTGGCCGTTATTTCTATCATGTAATGTGAAAAATGACTAGGGATTTGATAAAATGTTTTGATCCATGGGCCGGGATTTACTACTCGCCAGAGTTGCAGTTTCTAGTTTTAAAATCAAAATCAAACTGTTTTAAAGGGTAGGGACATGTGTGTGTGCATGCAACATTAATTCGTATTCAATAAATCATCCATCCATAAACTCTAAACTCATATAATACAACCTATTATTTAATGAAACACAGTTCAGTTAACAATGTATTGGATATATTGGAGTATTTCATTTCACTAACTGCATCTGTGTCATGTAACAGCATAGATTATGGGAATCAGTACATATTGTATTTCAAAAAAGGGTACTCTGTTGTGGAAATTTGGATTAAAGTAATAATGATCATTAAACATTAGATATGTAATACGGGAATGTAATAGCATACAGAAGAGTATACCCATTTTTGAGAAACACAAATCATATGTACATGTACTAGTGAGGGGTATTTATATGGAGACAGTGTTGCTAAAGATGGCATCTGGTTGACATCTGTTGAAACCCATACAATGTGGTCTTCACCCCATTAACCTACAATTGTGTATGCCTAAATTGTATCAAATGCTGGTGGAGCCTGTTCAACTCTGCCTGAGTGAACTTCCCCAGGGGTGTCAGAGCATATTTGAAAAGGAATTGCTTATTTTCCAGAATATCTAGGTGGCAGGAAAACTTATTGTGTGGCAGAAGGCCGTGCATCTGGGGATGCTCCCTTTGGAAATTTTTTTCAAAGTCGTTTATCTGAGCATTTGTAAGGACTATAAATAGTTCTTTTGTGAACTGTTTATAAACAGTGAACACCCGCGTCCCGCAGTAGCACCCATCGTACCTCTAGACTATATCCTATTAGTCTGTTATGTTAAGAGTTGGTAATTCAAAATATTTGTTATCCCATCGAACGAAGTTCGGAGGGATATAGGGAACGCCTCCGTCCGTCCGTCCGTCCGGGCAATAACTCAAATATCGTTGACCCGATTTTATTCATATTTTGTACACATATACCCTATGGGGGTAGAAGTTCTGCTCGAAAGCCGATTTTCAAAATGGCCGCTCATTTAAAAATGGCAGCCATTTTAGTGCCGATTTTACAGTAATTTAGGTGCAATATGTAAAACTGTAATAGCAATATGTTTTAAATGTAAAAAAAATTATATAGGACATTAATAAAGCTATAAATGTAGATATTAAAAAAGCACATGGCAGCCATCTTGAAAAATGGCGGCCTTTACTCGTTATTTTACGATTTTTGCTGTAACTCGAAAAGTAGTGGAGCGATTTTGTTCATATTTGGTATGTGAATACTATAAGCATGGCACACTGTCTAATGACACTTTTGGAAGAAGGCGGCCATTTTGAAAAATGGCGGCCATTTTGAAAAATGGCGGCCATTTTAACTTATTTTACTAAAACTCGAAAAGTAGTGGAGCGATTTTGTTCATATTTGGTATGTGAATACGTTTAAGCATGGCATACTGTCTAATGACACTTTTGGTAGAGGGCGGTCATTTTTCAAAATGGCCGCCATTTCAACGTATTTTACTATAACTCGAAAAGTAGTGGAGCGATTTTGTTCATATTCGGTATGTGAATACTGTGCATGGCACACTGTCTAATGACACTTTTGATAGAAGGTGGCCATTTTGAAAAATGGCGGACATTTTGAAAAATGGCCGCCATTTTAACGTATTTTACTATAACTCGAAAAGTAGTGGAGCGATTTTGTTCATATTTGGTATGTGAATACTATAGGCATGGCACACTGTCTAATGATACTTTTGGTTGAAGGCGGCCATTTTTCAAAATGGCCACCATTTTAACGTATTTTACTATAACTCGAAAAGTAGTTGAGCGATTTTGTTCATATTTGGTATGTGAATATTATAAGCATGGCAGACTGTCTAATGACACTTTTGGTAGAAGGTGCCCCTTTTGAAAAATGTTTGATGGGATTCGCTACGCTTTGGCGTTGCCGTTGTTCTGGTTCAAATAGGAAGCGCTATTCAAAATGGCCGATAGAGTGAATTAATTTGCATATTTGTTACTTCAACTAGCTTTATTTCTACTTGACAATATGCTATGTAACCTTTTATTGCATTTGATTGTTACTTACTACTTTATTGAATTTTTGTAATGTTTATTTAATTGAAGAAATGGTTCCTGTAATTGATAATTTTGTGCAAAAAATTTCACTACAATTTCCACAGTAGTACATCATAACAGACTGAAATCCGGGCAGTCTGTTGGATACATACTAATCGTACCTCCCTGGCTAGGCCCATGCATATTCAGATATGCAAGAAAATAATGAGTATGACCAAATAAAAAATAGGAAAATACAATAAGACCATTTTCACCGGCAGCTGATCAAAGGGGGGGGGGGGGGGGACCGGGGCCTCATAGTTGAAACATATAAGACTTTGCAAAATAGTGCCTTAAAGTTTTTCACTTTAATTTTCTGCCATTCAAATTAGGAATCATTTCGAAAAAGAGCATAAGGAACAGGGGAAACATCTTGTATACTGAGATTTTCTTTCACCTTTTCAATTTTGTAATTCTCCATTTCAAAGCAATTTGCCTTTTGCTTTTTCCAGGAAGAATGGCTGGATAAAACTGGGCTTTCCATAATCTGCTTCATAAAGAGTGACACTGAAGGTTGAACATTCCGGCAAGATAATCATTGAGTAGTATAGCAGTTGAGTAGCGAGACTTAACAGTATCCTGGTCCCAGATCCCGGTATGTATGTTTTGATATAATCATATATATTTTTTCTTATATATTCATTCATGTAAAAGAAGAAAAAACAATTGCAATCCATCCCAGTTGTGTCAAACAGAATAAGAATGAATGATTGACAATACAGTATATACATGTAATTACAATATGTTCATGCTAGAATGCAAATCAATCAGGTTATTATTTCATCAAATATTAATCAGAACAAAATTATTAAGCTGGATGAAATAGGAACCAATGGGAACAAGTGGAGATAGTGTTTATTCTTGTAAACCAGAACTTTCTCTGAAATGTTTGTGGAAAGCATCAGGTTCAAACCTAGGGGCCTGAGTATGTTTGTAAATGGAATGAATAGGAACTTTTAGAGACATTGTGTTTGCTTACAAATCTGATCATAATTCCCAATTTAGATGTAGATTTTGTTTTTCTTATGCAAGTAATTAGTAATGTAGGAAACATCACCAAATCTGACAATTTCATCCTGGAGAGACCATTAAATTAAATTATGAGATATGTCTCACCATGTAGTAAACTTTGGCCAAAATTCAGGTAGAGTGATGTAACAAAACAATGAATAAGTATGAAGAAGTAGTACTATATTCAAGTATGTTGTACAGGTCCATAGCCAGGGGGGTTGGGCCAAAAATTCTTTCGAAAATTATGCCATTTTCACCATCCTATGCACTTTTCAAGAGATTTTGAGCCAAAGTTGTCAAATGTGATTGTGAAACCCCCTGGAATTTTTTGAAAAGTGAACCCCCCTTGGCAAAATCTGACTACGGGCATGTTATATCATATTTTTTATAACAGTACAATAATACATGATCTTCATAATATAAAGTACATGTACATTTAGTTTTGTTTCTCAGCCAGCTCCAGCTCTTGTCATACTCTGTCAGAGTATTGAATATTAAAGGAAATGTATGTTTTTGATCAGGGTAGTACCCCTTTATGTGGTCACTATCCCTAAGTATCTGGTCCATCATTTTTCATCTTATTTCTTCCAAATCATGTTTTGTTGATTATCCTTGTTGCCGTTCAAAGTATCGAACTCCTCTATTAGGACAAGGTCTCATCAGGGATGCACTCGATGAATTCTTCCTCGACAAACGGCATTGCTTAATGGCAGATTCAAATTCAAACGAGAGACAAACAAATGATGTCTCTTCATAGCATTTCACCTTGCAGGTCTGGTAGCATTGGGCATTGTCCACAATTGCATCATCGTGTCCGATTATACATGCACTGCGCTTGTCGGTCCATGGGAAAGCCCCTGCAAATTAAGGTCAATCATTCACAAGTTTGTTTGTACAAGATGTTTTAGTTAACAAGACAGCTGTAACACTCTATTTTTTAGAATGGGAATTATTTTTTGGAATGGGAAAAGTAAAATATAGATGAATTTCAAACACGAGTGAGATGGCTGAGATTTTATTTTTAATTTAACGTGAGGTATAACTTTATACCTAGTGTTGAACTTAGCATCTCTGACTCAGCGTGAGGTATAACGTTATACCTAATGTTGAACTAAACATCTCTGATCCAGCGTGAGGTATAACGTTATACCTAGTGTTGAACTTAGCATCTCTGACTCAGCATGAGGTATAACGTTATACCCAATGCTGAACTTGGCATCTCTGACCCAGCGTGAGGTATAACGTTATACCTAGTGTTGAACTTAGCATCTCTGTCTCAGCGTTAGGTATAACGTTATATAAGCCTTAACATCACTTCCTTTAGCACCTTGCCCAACAGCAGATATACTTGGATATTCATCTCCATTTCCAAACCTTCTCATTCGTGTTCCTCCTAAAATCACATATACATTTCCCTCCATTTCTTGTAAAAACCAAAGAGGTTCAGACATTGTATTTGATGTAGCTTCTGCCATTGTTCAAGTTGTGAGCTTCCAATGAATATACACCTTAACACACAATATCAAACAAGTAAACAGCAACTCCCTAAGGATTCACTGAATGATTTGGGGTATTTCAGATGAAACTGGGTTTATTCCCCTAAATGGGGCTCCTTAAGGGGTATGTGACAAGGTGATACATGCCCTAAAAATATGACTAAATGCAACTTTTGGGTACTTTAAAGTTGAACGAATGTGACAAATAAATGCTTGCAAGTAACAATTTTGACTGACAGGTGTTTTGAAAGTGACAAAAATAGACAATTTGAATTCATTCTGAATGTAAATGGATGTTAGTAAATGTGTCTTATTTTAACCAGTAATCAACAATGGAACATAACAGACCATGTGTTGCATTAAATGCTTTGACTGAGTAAAAAAGAATGAATCTGACAAAATGTGATTCAAAATTGTAAATTCAAAATGTAATTCAATTTTAAATATAACAAATGACAATTTTGGACTTAGAAAATTTAAAGCAACCTCAGTCACTGTCCCCTCTTGGGGAGCCCTATAAATGAATACAGTAATAAGTCTTCTTAAAAGAGGTTCTGACACATTCAAATAAATAAGATAATCTGAACCCATTAACCTACCCTAAAATTAAAAACTAGTTTGGAAGATAAAACTGTATAACATTGGGCATGTTATACACTTTATATTGGTTATATAGGTAACTTTGTCAGATTTAATGCCCCAAGCTCCAATATAGGTTGGCCATGTCTTGATAATCCACATCATGCATTTTTATTTTTGGCAATTCTTGTTACAATCAATGTTTACAACATAAAATTGTGGGAAGATTCCTCTGACCCTGGTAGAAAACAGATAACTGAGTCAAGAGGTGACACATTATGAGAAGGTCGTTTATTTCATTTGTGATTGTGCTGGTCTGATGCCCAAGAAAATATATATCACTGCTGACTGCTCAGTCAGGTATTGAAATATGCTCCTGGCTATTTTGATTCATTTTATTGAAACTCAAAGTTGGTTTCTGACAAACCACTATTTTGGAATTGTGCGTTATAGTGCACCATGTGTAATTAATTTCTCAAGGGGTCTTTTGTAGGTGAGGGGCTTTAATTTCAAAAGTTATTTTTTATAAAATGAAAACGCTAGTGTATTTTTTTGAACAATTTGTATTAGTATTTAAAACAATTGTTCCTTTCTTCACAAGGTTGTTCTTAGAGGTTATGTCACTATGACGTGAAATATGCCTGAGTTCTCCCAATATAGGCCGACCTTGGGAGGCTCTATATTTGGGCAAGAACGAAGGCATATTTCACGTCATAGTGACATAACTGATGTATTACATGCCTTTGTTCCCATGGTTACTTTGTATCAATGACGTGACATCATGATATTATCATGGTTATTAAAGAAATCTAATATCAAAACGAGGTAAGCGGGCTATATCGGGGTAATCGGGCAATATCGGTGGATATAGCTCGCTAACTTTCCCATTGACTTCCATACAAATGCTTTGCTAGGTATGTAATACACAAGGATATATCCCATATATATTTGGGTGCTAATGCATCAGTAGTTGATCTGACCAGCATCTGTTTTGCTTGTTAGCAGAGGGGTTGACATATTATTTAGATAAGATAAAATTTATGGGTTTGTCTCAAAGCTATAGTTTTGAGAAAACTAACTGTTTCCCCTCTTAAAGATAGTTTGCAAGCTGATTCAATATATCATTCAAAGACAAAATTATAGTGTTCTTTAAAGTTTTCCAAATTAATTAAAAAAAATTTAACACACTACCTATACATAAACATGACCTACTATTCAGATACACTATACAGATAAAATGTTACATGTATGTCCAGTCTGGAGTTCCAATTTAAATTTTCTACAATAAAATATGAAGTACAAAATATTCTACATTGGAATCACATAGGCGATGAGTGTGATGGCACCAAAATAGAACCATGAGATAGAAGAAAAGGGCTTTACAATTTTTTTATTTGAAGTTTCTAGCTCAATTTTGAAGGAATTGCAAACATCTTTGTAAACTTTTTGTTTATGCCATGATCGCACCCTCCCCCCTCCGACCCAAAACCGAAAATAAATTTGACAATTGCATCCCCCCTGATTAAAAGCTGGCTACGCCCCTGAATCAAAGAATCAAAATACAAGGTGATGCTGGGCTCAAATGTTTCTCTCAAATTCATGTAACTGATGGCTATCTGGCATCATGACATCTCATTTCTTCTCAGCCCTGAGATGATGTTTCAGGTGAAACAGAAAGAAGCTATGAGTATCTGATCAGAATGGCTATCTGGTGTCCTCATAGATATCCACAGACATAAGTTTAAGATTAATGGGCCAACAAAATATGTCTTACTAAGTACAAGCTAACATTTTTATGTATATAATGTACATCAATAATAGTAGGAAAGATGTATATAATGTATAATGTGGAGACCTTTTAATTTGTTAATAATGAATACACTGACTTTATATATCTATATTTTAGAACTAAGGTCATCACTTAGATTGTTGAAGTATGGTATATTTGATAGATTTGATTTGATAGATAATAGACTTGAGCATTTCTGCTCTTTCATTTGTAATGAAATTTAGATTAGAATATGAATTTCATTCTGTGTTTTCATTACTAATAGAATTTCAGTTCAAAACAAACTAGAACATAAGCACTAATCTATCATGTCTATTGTGTCTATGAAATGTTATTAATGGCCAAGCAGATTTCTGAGATTTTAATGTGTTTCATTCCTTTACCACTAGACTATCAGGATAATATATCCTGTAAAATAGAAACTGCCTTTAGTACTTGCACCAATGTTCATTTTGAAATGCAATCCAAGCCAACAAGCTAGGCTAGTGTATGGTAAAAACCTATTCATAATATTGCTGTACAGCTGTACATGGTTCTGCTGTAAAGCTGGGGTCATTTGTAATTATGATGAAAGGACAATGTTACATTTTAAGTGTGGTTCACATACACTGGCCTACACTGCTTTCTGACTATACGCTTTACTATCTGTTTTACCTTATCATTGATTGTACAAGTAAAAAAGAAATGACACTCACCCTCTATATGTTTTATATAAATATTGCATAGTTTTCTCTAGGTTTTTGCTTTGCAGGTCTTCCAGCCTGGATTGCCAATCAATGAAAACTCATTCAAAATCTACTTGTTGCCAATCTATAGTTTTTGTTATCTAATTTCAAATACAATATTCTTTCTTTTTGGAACAATTTGTACGTTCTAACTATACATGTATTAGGGTTATGGTCAATATTTCAATGTCCGTCAAAAAACTTAATTAATTTACTTAGGTCTTAACCCCCCCCCCTCCCCTTCTAACGAAAGTCAAAATGTTGATTTGTGTGCACTCTAAATGAGTCAAAATGTTGATTTGCATGCAAAAATCAATGTCCGTCACCTAATTAAATAGGGCTTTCCCCCTCCCCCCTAACGTAATTAATTACGTTTTTTGACGGAAATTGAAATATTGACCAGGCCCCTTAGGATAATGTTTAAACCATTTTTCCATGTTTCTTCAAATAATATCTTCAACTTCTTTTCTACCACACTCACTAGATTTCAGTATTCAGAATTTGGTAGTTCCAATAACCTAATGAAATCACATTTTCTGAGTATCATATACCTTGCTTGACCAAGTTTTGAATCAAACTCTTGATTACCTCTATCTGGAAATTTTAGAAGTATAAGCCAATATTTTATAATGTAAGACTCAAATTTGCTTGACAGTGGGTATCTTGCAGTTTATGATTAATTGACACCTTTATAATGTTGACTTCAAATATGGCAAATCTATGGCTGGATTCATTTGCTTTCATTTGTTTTTTATCATATCACATTTCACTTGTATAAGAGAAAATTGGACTAAAGCATTAAATAGACAAAGAGCAATATCACGGTGAGCAACCATACCGCACCGGGGATCGACCCCGGTGCGTTACACTTAAATTGTAACGCTCCGGAGTGAAGAAAAATGGCGGACAATGATAAATGCATAATGGACGTGAGTAGAAATTTTTGATTTACGATGTTTCGTGATTAGGTACGAAGAACTCCTATGTACCATTCAAAGTACAATATATTAAGGAAGATGTAAAAGCACAAGCAGCATTAAAATATTTTGATGTTTTTTATTCTTTTTATGAAATATACAGAGTATTCCTAGATTGTGCGAGAATATATCTTATCAACATGATCCTTATGGTTGCATGCAAAATTGTGTCAGTTTAGGAGTTAAATGGTGGTCAGTTTTATGAGATATCACTAAATCTAGTTGTAACGCACCGGTCATATTAGGCCAATATTTGGAAACGCACCGGTGCTAAGTATTAAAGTATACATA